GGAAAGACTGCAGTAGTATGGGGATCAGTGGTAAGGGTGTTGCAATGAATGAAAGAGAAAATGGAACACAAAAGCACCAGTTCTTGCAGATAGGCAGTAAATCTGGTCATATGACAGAAGAGTTGCAGTGTGAGAGTCTTGCCACTAGAACACAGTATGTGGCTAGGTCAGCTGGAAAGGGGAGGTGGAGTAACACTGACCTAAACATAAGATGTAGATACAGGAAGAGAGGAACCAATTATGGAATAACTGTAACATTTGGAGGGAGGATTTGGGAAGTCATATTAAGGGTGACTTGAAATGACAGTTATAGTGGTTAGGGAAGAGCCAGGAGACAGGAAAACCAGCTGCTGGTAACTGCATCTCCATAGATACCATACATCTGTGTTTAGGAAAATTCTGAAGTACAAAGAAATTCTGGGTTTATGTTCCCTTTCAAAAGTCTTGGAACACATTCCCCTTCTTACTTTCAGAAGTGGCTATAATAAAATGGCTTTTGTGTTCCTTGCTGATGGAAAAGTTTTTGTTTTCAGGTTATCATCAGAAGACAGTGAAGAAGCTTCTGCTTATTTTTATGATAGTGATGACTCTGGTGAAACTGGAATAACTCCTCAGCACCAAGGAGAAATGGACTTGCTTGGGGAGATCTTGGACACACTGAGCACACACAGTTCAGATCAAGGAAAGCTCTCGGGAGCAAAGAGCCTGGATTTCTTTAGGTCAATGGATGACATCGATTACAAGACTGCGGTTAGTGTTCTGTTTTCATTTGAAAAACAGCTCCAGTCCCTTTATAGTGAAATCTTGCACATACATGTGGAATCAACAACATGCAGCTCAGACATTGCAGCATACTCCTTAGAGTTGCTAGCGTGTCTTCCTAGGGCTATGTAACAAGTACACCTGTGCTGGCCACTGCATGATGGTTTTTCACTAGCCAAGACCTCTTTGTCCAGTTTACCAAGTCATCTTGGAACAGCACTTTTCCCTTATGACAGTAACCTCATATAGAGCTCTGAATAATGTAATAATTTACCTAATCAAATAGTTTAATGTTACATGTAGCTGTTCAGTCTGGTATTCCCAGAGCTGATCTTTATGCAGTTTAGAAGGTATTTATACATCCTTAAACTAGTCATAGTGATATAGTGATCAACCTTAAGTCATGGATCCATGTAGCAATTGCACCTGAAACACTGCTAGAATAGTACTCCAGAGCTTTCTAAGAGGGCTTCTTGATCTGTTTTTAGGTAGAGTTGCACAGGACCTATAGTGTAAACCAACTGCTTGCCTGCAATTTTAAAACCCTCACCAAGTCACTGCTGTGATGTTAGGCAAAAAATTTTTGTCATTTTGAATTCCAGCACGTCAGCTGTCCAACATTTACTTTTTCTGAAAGGGATCCTATGGTAGAAGATTCATTACTGGAACAGGAAGTTCTGATACAAATGTTTAAAAAGCTTGTAAAATTTTATATTATGAGTGTCACACAAGGGTCACATTAATAAAATGCCCATTTTGTTTGTTTGGCCAAAAAAATTTAATATTGAAAGTTGGTATAATTAATTACTGAAGCAAAGAGGAAATGCCATCTGGTTTTAGTTTTAGTCCAGCTCCTTCTCATATTATAGGTACAAACCAGTAAAATGTGTCTTTGTTCACTGTCAAAACTGCTTGTGCAAAGGCTGAATGGACAGGGGAGACAGAAATCCTTCCTCTGTGCAAAAGGCGATGCTTACGATAAGAGACAGTGTTCTGGTGAGGAACTGTAAAAGCACTTGATCTTACATTGGGTCTGGGTTTGTTGTTTTGTAGTATTGAACCCCAAAGGGGATCCATGATTTAGGAACGCACAAAATGCATTACAGTGTTTTTGTTTCAAAAGTGCCAGTGTAGAGACATCTCTTGTGACATTAACCATATACACATGTTCTTTCTTTCAGAACAAGTCAAATGCACCCAGTGAGAGCAACCTTACGCTGCTCTGCAGCAGTGCTAATGATCAAGCAGAGTGGAACCTTGGTCAGGATGACAGTGTCCTCCATGGGAAGCAGCTCCCTCCATCGCCAAGGAAGCAAGTTTCTTCTGCTGGCCATAGAGAATCTCTCTCAAGGCTGGAAGAAGAAAGTAGTGACAAAACCTTTATTACTGATGACATGGACACCGCTAGTATAGCATCCCCGTCTCCAGTACGATCAAGTGCCTGGTTTGCTTCTCAAGAAGGTTTCAAAGCAGGCTATTCTTCCTATAAGTATGCAAAGCAGAACGAAACACTAAGCAATACCTCACAAGATCAGCTCCCAGCAAGTCTTGCTCAACATCCATCCATTCTGGTCCCTTGGGAGAAAGATGGGAAGGAAGGAAATGAAACTCCGGAGGAGGGTGGGCTTCTTCAAGAAGTGGTGTCATTATGTAAACTGAGTTCTGCTTTTCACTATGGTTTAAATATTTCAAAGGATAGCTTATCCAGCAGTAGCAGTGGAAACAAAACATGAGAAAACTATGAGAAGAGAAACTTGACTCCCATCAGAAGTTAAAGGGAGAATACTCAGGACTCTGTGTAACTCCATATCACATAATAACCAAAAGATGAAAAAGGAATAAGAGTTCTTCAATTACAAAAATAATTCTCTTCAGTTGAGTATGCATTTTCTGCCACTGGGACATCTGCTTCTATGTTTACTCGGTTCGTTTGTTGGCTGTAGTTAGGTCCGCAAAATGGAACTAAATATATGAATGCACTCTTAAATCAGGTACTAGTTAGTCTCTGTGATAAAGTACAGCAGGTGTATGGTGCTTCCTAGCATTTGCTTCCTCTGAGCAGCAGGAGAGGTATCACCTAACAGGTAACCACATTTTGAAGGTACTATATTAATCCCATTAAGCATGAAATGAACAGAGCAATCTGATTTGTCTGAAATGTACAAATGTTAATATTTGTAATGAATAATAATCGCCTTAATCTTTTGAGAAGAGGTTTAACTATCTTAGAAGATGAATGCAAATCTACAAAAGAGCAATAATGATTTTCCATGGCAAGAATTTGCTTCGGCGAAGTGGGGGGGAAAGGAACTTTTTTAAGATTAGGAATTACTTGTGAAAATAATTTGGAAGTTACTCCAGACTAAAACTGTGGCTCTGTCTTCCAGACTTCAAAAAGGTAGCGCATGCTTTTCTCTCTTCTGTAAAGTACATGAAGTGCTGAATTATAATGTGACATTTATTAACTTCTGTTTACAACTGAGACACTTTAAAGACATATTATCTGGTTTCCCTAGGTAGACTATTTCACCTAAAAATTTTCAGAAAGGAAAGTGTAAGTGGAATTGATAGATTTCTATTATTTTTTATTTTCTACGGTTAATAGTGTTTGAAAACTGATTTGTGCTCTTCTAAACTATTTTCTTTCCATATTTAGTAGCTACCTTTTTGAAGATAGATTGAATTACTGTTACTTAGAAGTCATATTTAGTTAAATTATTAAAAAGACATGACTGAAAATTACTTGGAACACTAGAAAACTAAGTTACGGATACAGCTTGAGACTGCATATATCCCACTCTCACTTTAGCAGCGCTGAACAACCAAAAATCTCCTAAATTCAGCAAAGGAGGATAAATGGACTTGATATAGATTGTATTTAGAACAAGCATTTGTCCTCCTTCTGGCAGCATTCCTGAGGAATATTTGCATATTTAAAGTCTGAAAATTATTGCTGCTTATGGAGCAGCTCTTTCCTTTTTATTATTTTTTTAATTTTCCTCCCGTTTTCTTTTTTCACCTCTTCACCTTACCATACATACATTGTCCTCCACAATAGCCCAGGACAGGAAAAGCATGAAGTAAGTTTCAGCAGATTAGAATTGTCAACTTTGAAGGGTATTTGTGATGCAGTTGGCAGAAGTAACACATGGGTATAAAATGAACTGTGCTTGAGAAGAATGCTCTCCTACTCTTCTAAAGTCATGTCAGCAACCTTTTTTCTTTCTTTCTTTCCCTCTTTGGCATAAATGGTTAGTCTTAATCTCAGTATGGGCCTGAGCCAGCACATTCGTGCGGTCAGTATTTGGATCAGGTGTGCTTTAGTGTCTTAATAGTAGTTTGTAGCAAAGTTTAATATCAGTTGCCACGTTGAGATCTATGAATGAATTTTCCTTCTAGCTAACACAAATGGAAAGGGGATTTTTGGCTGCTTTATTACAAGGCACCTGACCTAAGGGAATAGATACATATCATTACAAAGGCAATGTTTGATGCTTTACTAAAGAGGTGCAGTAGAGTGAGACTTTGTTAATGCAAAAGTTTCAGCTTGTTCCAGAATGAGAAGGGCTGGGGCAGAAATTGTCGTTGAGGATGCGCCTCCAGATTTATTTTTTTTTCAATCATTGCAATGAAGGTAAAAGGTTGTAAAAGTGCACGTCGTACAGAAATATCTGTGTCTGATTAAAGCATGAACATTTGTGAGGGCATCTGCAATCTGCATTCCTAGAGGATCTCGGTATTCCAGAGTTAGAGGTTGTATGTCCAGAGGTCTGTACTCCAGAGTATTTATCTATCCTTTTGTTTCCTCTTGTGTATTAACATGGTGTGTTACCTATTTTTTTTTTATAACATTAAAATGTTATTTGGCAAAATACTTTGCACTGTTAAAAATAAACATTTTCATATTTAAAATCTTTGCTCTAAACTTTCCAGGTGGGTCGGACCAGGTGGCTCAGGTGCTGTTCAGATAGGAAAGCTGCAGAGCAACCTCATAGATACTTGTTTAGAGATGGTATTGATGACTCAGTAGAAGGCATTTTTCTGCTTTGCTGGTACTAAACATTACCCAAACGTAGTGCTGCCGAGTGTTTTGTTCTTGTAGTGCTTCTCACTTGTTCTCATTCATGTCCTTGCATTTTTGTTAATGAGAATTTCAAGATTCACCTTTTCTTTTCCTCTGCATCTGATGTATGGTCAGATGGTTCTATCTAAGGTGATGTTTTGATTTCTTCATTTATTAAAGATAATAGAGTATTAATGTCTTAAGGAGTAAATTAGAAAAAAGATCAGAAATTATGACCATCATTACTTTCAAAACCATCAAACGTGTAAGTCCAGGAATGCTGCCAGAAAATGGTTTTCAAAAATGCCTCTCTCACAGAATAAATCTTACTGGCTTTACATGAGAGTTAAGCGCTGAACTCCCATTATCACGTAGATTGTCCCATTCTCACCTTTGTGGAAAAAAATATGGAAGCCATGTGAGGCTGCTAATATTCTTATAGTTGTTACAAGGATCGTAAAACTGAAAGTTTGATAGTGGAGTCTTTCAAAATTGAGGCGTTGTAGTAATAATTTACTGTTTCATTGAGTGAAAACTAAGACTAAAAAGAAGGAAACAGATGAACTAAAACATGGAAGGTAAAATTCAACTTAGAATTATTTTTATTTCAGTCAAAATGTTAGTTACTGTGCTTATGCCACATTGTTTCCTTACTGTTTATGAAGTCCGTAGAGTGTTTACAGTCATTAATTAGTGTCTTTTTTGGTCTTGAACCTTGTATGGGTTCAAAAATAACTCAGTCTTGTATCTATGTTGAATTTAACTGTAGGTACATTTTAAACTCTGTAATATAACGGAATCTTTTCCACTTACTATCAGTGATCTTTTAAAAAGGCTAATATTTGTGCCTTATTTAAACAGAATTACCAGTTACCAAATAGATGAGAGTCCAAACTGATGTTTCTGATTCAACACTGTTGTTCTCTGTCCTTGTGATATTATAAAACTGTTTAGTGGCTACATATACAGTATTTTTATTACTACATTGCGTTCTATATTAAGATAAATTGTCCAGGTCCAGTACTTTTTACAAGTTTTATACTTGTATGCTTTTTATTTGTGGAAATCCTTCCAATCTCTGAAAATCATCGACATTCATCACCAGCTACTGGTGAGAACTGAATTCTGCTTAGTCAGAGCTCCTGTGGTCGTCTTCAGAGGCACCTCTTTTCTTCAGGATCTCAAAAATCTTCCCATTTCTCCTGTTTAAGGGAGATACCAGGTTATTTGGTTAAGCTTTGTAATCTGTTACTTACACCTAGGAACAAATTTCTGATGTAGAAAGTCAAACTAGGACTTGAATTTAATGTCTTCGAGTTTGTTTTGCATAGATGTTTGCCTGAAATGAGCCGTATCACTCATCTGGTTTGGGAGGAAAAAAGTAAGGACAGTAGAAAGAGCTAGGGATTCCTGGGTTATTCCCCTGGGGTGTGGTGAAGCAGAGCCTGGGAGTCATCAGGAGGGAAAATAACATTGAGGAGATAAAGATTTCAGGATATTGTTTAGTGTTCTAGCTCAGTTGTGATTCCAACCCAGCCACATAGGCAAAAATAATATTGCCTATGGAATTAATCCCCTATGGGGTTTGCAGAATGGATAATAATGTTGTCCCAGTCGAAGCCTTCCCATCCATGTGTATAGAGATGCAGCATGTGAAAAACAGTGCAGATGTTCAGGGAAGGACCGTGCTGTGGATGCAAAGGTGATCCCTACCCACCCTCTATGCATGCAGAGGGCGATCTGTGTAGAGTAGGCAGTGGTTTGCTTTTCCATCCCACAGATTTGGGCATCACGTAGCTCCGAAAAATAGACCTGTTCTGAAGAAAAAATGTAGTTGTAGAAGTTGTCATAGAACTTGTTGACTGAACCCTGCATTGTCACTTAGCATTTCAGTGATCCTGCTGCTGTTTGGGTTGGGGTCGTCAGAAACTCTCAGCACTGGCTGAAGTCCCCTCTCAGGCATTGTAACACAAACTTCAGCTGGAGTTTTAGACATGTGCTGGGTGCTTTTGAAAATCCCACCCAATCTATTAGAGGAGTGTTTTAGATAAAAATCTGGTTTAGATGTCTCTTCAGGTTTTAGAATGAGCTAGTTTACAACCTTGTGTTCTTGTAAACGATATAAAGTCTAGGCAAAAGAACAGTTAAGTCAGGTTTTTAAAACAGCTTCTATTTCTCTGCCTACAATCAATCATATTCTGTCCTACAGAACAATCTTCCATTGGTGCAGCTAATGGAATTGCTAGGAGCATCTAAAATCTTTTCTCTATGCATGTAATTAATTGAAGAAACATTTCATGCAATAATCAAAGTGCCACCATGAGGCCCTTTTGCAAATGCATCCCCTGTGTAATACTGACTGTAGAACCGTGTCCTGCAGAAAGGAGTCCTGTGACCGCTGACCTCCCTGACTCCACAGGGAGAGGTCAAGGGTGGCCTTTGTTTCCAAGGGAGTCAGCATCTCCCCTCTTCGCACCAGGCTCTAGTCCAGGTGCTGTGAGACTCCAGCCAGCATGTTCCCAACAGCCTGAAATTTCAGGCTAAACAAAGGTGGCTAATAAAATTACGCCTGAGGCAAGCAGCTTCCTCATTGTAAAGCTCAGGATGGTGAAGGCTGTCTGTTCCTGTGGTATCGCAGTAGATCTTTGGAGAATGAATGTAGAAATAAAT